GCCAAAGGTTGGAGACCCCTGGTCTATGGAGTTTCTCAAATCATTCAGGACATCGTTCTCCCAAAAGTGCTTTTCCAAAAGGCAACCAAGGTCTTGCTTGCTTTCCTCCAAGAAGCTTCTTCACTTCATTTCCGTTCTTCAGAACCGAGGAAGCTTCTTGGACGAGAAGCAAAACGTTTTCAAGGCAAAACAAAACAAGAAAATCCAGTTACCTTGGTGTGTGTGTGTGTGTGTGTGTGCACCAGTTAACGGTCCTTCCTGGATGGTAAAACCTTGACAAAAGGGACTTGTGTCTTTATCGCCACATATTTAGGCGACTGTGAAACGTTCTACCTGGGACTGTTTTGGAAGGCAACTGAGAAACAGCAGCGTGTTAAAACACTTTTGCAAGAGGAAAGAAGGTTGTCACTATCAGAGCTAAATCCCAGATGTCGAATCGCATTTGATTCAATCCGTAGACATTTGATTTAATGCAATCCGAAAGCCTGGATTAAACCCAAATGATTGGAGACTCCAGTACGCTCCCAGCTTGTTCCCCTTAACTAAAAACCAAACAAATCCAATCAAATCAGAATGGAACTGGGAAGGACCTTGGAGATCTTCTAGTCCACCCCCGCTTCTCAAGCAAGAGACTCTACACCTTTCCAGACAAGTTAACTATCCAATTTCTTTTTAAAAGCCTCCAGTAATGAAGCATCCACAATTTCTAGTGGCAAGCTGTCCCCCTGGTTCATTGTCCTCACTGTTAGGAAGTTTCTTCGCAGTTCTAAGTTGCTTCTCTCCTCGATGAGTTTCCATCCATCGCTCCTTGTCCTGCCTTCTGGTGCCTGGCAGAATAATTTGACACACACACCCCCCTCCTCTTTGTAGCCGCCCCTCAAATACTTTGTATAGTTTGCCAAGGACTTCCTCTTTCGTTCAAAAAAGGGAACAGATGCTCTCCGACTCCTTTTAAGCTATAAAAGAGGTCCGGAGAATAAATGGCTACTCTAGAGCTCTCTACACTCGTGATAATGATGGGCAGCGACATTTCCTGCTCAGACCGAGAAAAGCTTCCAAGGGCCCACATATAATAACCGAGAGGAAATAATTCCCTTTATTGTTTGCAGAGAAAAAAAAAAAACACTTCCCCCAATAGCAGTTTTCGCTTCTCTGGCGAGCCAAGAAAGTAGAGGTCTCCTGCCATAATAATTTGGATAATGTGTTTTTTCTGCTCCAAGGTCTCGCCAGCGGAAAAGGAGACGCCCCCGCCGTCCGGGGCCGAAAGCCCTTCGCTCCAGCCCCCTTTTAAGAACGGGCAGAAGACCAAACCTCTGATCCCTGAAATGTGCTTCACCTCAAGCAGCGAGAACACGGAGCCCCTCCCGTCCAACTCGTACATCGGAGACGATGGGAACAGCTTGTTAATCTCCTGCGCCAAGTGCTGCCTGCAAGTCCACGCCAGTAAGTGCCCCGGCTTCCAGATTCCGTGCTGCGGCCACTTTTTTCTGCCTCTCTTCTCTGGCCAAAAAAAAAAAAAAAAAAAAGGCCTCTCCGTCAGATGGGATCCCCTCTTTAACAGAATAATAGAGTGGGGAGGTCTTCTAGTCCAACCCCCTGCTCAGGCAGGAGACCCTATATACCAAGGGTATCCAACCTTGGCAACTTTAAGACTTGTGGACTTCAATTCCCAGAATTCCTCAGCCAGCTGGCTGAGGAATTCTGGGAGTTGAAGTCCACAAGTCTTAAAGTTGCCAAGGTTGGACACCCCTGCTATATACCATTTTAGATAAATAACAGAATAACAGAGTGAGTGTCATGCCCCTGTTAGAATCTGACTCCGAGGGAGAGGAGGAACAGCGGACAAGGAGTATGGCTCCGGAGGTTGTGGAGGAAACTGGGGAAGGGCACAGGCCGTCTGGGCAGCCAGAGAAAGATCCAGGCCCGCCCCCTCTTCATCCTAGGGCACGCAGGGAGGAGCGGATAAGGGAGAAACGTGAATGGCATGGTCTACGGGGGAGGAAAGGGCCCTGAGCCCCTTCATGGGCTGCAGCTGTTTAGAAGGACAAACTGCGCACAGGCCAACGCTGGAAGCAAAGCGTGAAAATATTTCTAGTCTGTCAGTTCTTATCTGAGTTCTGGCGTCCTTCCCAGTGTGCGTATTTCGGTATCTGTGGACGTCTTCCAGCCCTTATCCTGCCTTCTCTCATTAATTGCTTCAGCGTGGTTTGCATTGTTTTTTTCTATTTATAAATTTATATGTATTTTGAGTTTGAACGGAATTTCTTCCTCCTCGCAACTGTTTGTGGGGGAGTTTTTTCCTCCAGTCCATGATAATTGGACCTTCGAAGCCAAGGGGAAAGAATGAAAGGGACTTTCACCTGCTTTTTGTGTCTTCGTTGGTTTTGTATCCCACCCTGGGTCATCACAGTGGGGAGGGACCTTGGAGGTCATCTGTGACCGTCATAAATACGAGTCAGTATTTGTCAAGCGGCTGAACGTAGATCCCATGACCTTGGGATTGCTACAGAGGGCGTAAGTGTGGAAAACAGCCATGCGTCACTTTTTTTTCAGTGCCGTTGTGACTTTGAATGGTCACTAAATGAGCGGCTGTAAATCCAGGACTCCCTCTTATTGCCTCTCCAGCAAAATTATTCTGGGTTATCATCTTCTATTTGGAATTCTTTAAATATTTTTCACAAATTCTTTGGAGGGGTGGGCGGGGGGGAACCCTGTCTCTTTTATTTTCCCAAAGAGAAACGGATTGCGGAGGACTGGCTTCCCCTTGGCAGTTGGACCGAAAAAGTATTTTATTTATTAAATGCTCATCCCGTCCATCTGTCTCTCAAAGCAACTCTGGAGTCTGCCATAAATAACAATGCGGCCATTTAAAAAAAAACGAATCCTGGCTTTAAGCCTCCCCAAGAGATGCGCTTGTTTATATATATTTTCTCTTTTGTGTTTTTGGCACCTGCTTTTGAGGGTGGAGAACGGGGGAAAGAAAGAGAGAGAAAAAGAGCGTTCATCTTTTATAGAGTTTGACTTAAATGCCTGGTGAAAGAGCTGAGCACAAGTGATTTTTAACCGATGGCGTGGTTCTTTTCTTCCCGCTGTTCCCTCTGCCCTCCAATTTCATACTTTATTTTTTATTTTTTTTAAAATATTACAGGTTGCTACGGGATACGCCCGGACCTTGTGAATGAAGGCTGGACTTGTTCCCGTTGCTCAGCAAACTCGCTGCTAGCGGTAGGCCAAAACCTCTTTCTTGGTAGCCCCCACCCCCCCCCAAAAAAAAGGTTAAGTGGAGGGTTGGATCCCTAGCTTTGGCTTCTGTGATATTTTAGGTTTTAATTTTAGTTTTAGTTTTACTTTATTGTCCTTGCAACAGAATTAAATACCATCTTCAGTGTATATTATGACCGTGAAAATAAAACACAAACACACATCTTTCACATTGTATACATTGAATTCAAAACTCCTGATATTGCACTAATATTGCACCATACAGCAGAATTCAATAGAGTTACTCTCCTGGGATAGAAGCTGTTTTTGCCAATCTAGTGTTTAATTTTAGTTGAGCAGACTCTTACATGTAATGTTGAATGAAGCAGCTCTGCTGCAACCTTATATATATGGTCCTAATTCTTTGTGCTTCACATCCAGGATGCTGGATGTAATTCTTTTCCTTTCCCTTCTCTTACCCCACCTGTCCCATAATTCTCCAAATATTTTAGTGGGAGATTTCCCGCCCCCATTTAAATATAATTTCCATGTTGCTTCCCCAGGATTGCTGTCTCTGTAATCTCAGGGGAGGAGCCCTTCAAAGAACTACAGATGGAAGGTAAATCAGCTATAAAGTTTTGTCTTTCTTTTAGCAATAGCCCTTAGACATATATCCTGCTTTACAGCCGTCTCTGAGCGGTTTACAGAGTCAGCCTCTGGCCCCCAACAATCTGGGTCCTCATGTTACCCACCTCGGAAGGACGGAAGGCTGAGTCCACCTTGAGCCGGTCAGGATCGAACTCCTGGAAGTGGGCAGAGTCAGTCTACAATACTAACCACTGCATCAACAGGGCTCTTGAGAGACAGAGAGTAAGAGCGAGAGAGATGATAGATGGATTGTCAACTCATAAAACCTTCCTATGCCTGTTTTAATAGTTGGGGGCGGGGGGAATCTGGAAGAGGAGTGCAGCAGTTTGGAAGCGAAAGTACATTCCAACTCTTTATCTTTCAACGATTGTAACTAAACTACCAGAGCTTTCGTCCTGGAATATATTTAATTGGAGAACGTGAACGATGGCACCCAGCCTGTGAAGGGGCTCAGTTGGAGAATCTGATTCATGACACACCCAGGGGGGAGGGAGGGAAACGGGGTCAAAGCGGACTGTAAATGACGTGTGCCAGAATTGGCTTCATACAGGGCAGGGCCAGTAGGTCGCCTCTAATGAATCCTTTGAAGTTTGGCTCGAGAATCATGATTTAATAAGGCGATTGCTGGAATCCTGACATGGATATTGTAAATAGAGAGAGGATAGATGGATGGGTGGATAGATATAGATAGATAGATAGATAGATAGATAGATAGATAGATAGATAGATGATAGATAGATAGATAGATAGATAGATAGATAGATAGATAGATAGAT